CCCAAACCTCACCCGGGTCTCCGCGCCAGGGTCTGTGTCTGGCTTGAGGTACAGCTCCCTCCCCCCAGCGACCCGATAGGTTAGGGCCTGGGGACAGGGCCGCGCCTCCCAGCTGCAGGCGGGATCTCTCCGGACAGCGGAACGGGCTGGCTTCGTCCCGAGCGGGGTCGGAGCTCTCTCTGTGCCTTGCAGCCCTCGTGTAGCCGAGGACCAGAGTCTCCGTCTTATCTCTCTCCCTTGCAGGCCAGCCTAGGGTCTGAGTCTGCTTGCACAGGTCCCCTGACCCCGGAATGACGTTCCTTGTTCCCCGCCACCACCCAGGTGCATGCCCCCAGGTCTGAACCAGCCCAAACGGGGCATGCTCTTGGGGTCCCTGTCCCACGCGTACTTTAGAGTCTCCTTTTCAGGTCCTGCGTGGGTCCCAGGGACCCGCCCCCTCCTTACACTTGGGGCCGCACCAGGTGCACCCCTTGCCTTCCCGGTGGACTGGAGCCCTGACTGCCGTCTACACCAGAGGTCTTCTTAAGTTCTCCGTCTCAGTGTCGTGTCCTGGGCTCTGCCTCCTCTTGTCTTTCCTATGAAAACAGCATCCCTGTTTTAGGAGGGCTCTGCGCCCCACACTCCAAGAAGCAGGTCCTGGCCGTATGGCACCTCCACTCGTACTTGCCAGTGCCTCTGCTAGTTGGGTTAGACTCTCACCTTTTCCCATTCACCTGGTTACCCTTTACCTGTCTCTTCTCACATACCGGTCCCCAACTACGATGTTTTATGGGAGTCTCTTTAGGTTCCTGCTGCCGCTTGCTGCTGCTTAAGATCCAGGTTTCCTGTCCTGGGGACTCTGTCCCTGTCATAGTTTGGGGCCTCAGTTCAGAGTGTCTCAGGGATGTGCCCTTCCCCGAGTGCATCGCCCAAGTGGGGGTCCAGTGTCCTTGTGTCCTTGTCTTTGATCCTTTTTGCTTCAAAAGTCAATTCAGGTGCTGTTCCTAAGGACTTGGGAATCCTCCTTTCTGGTCTTCCCTCCGGAAAGTCCTCACGATGTTTTTTCTCTTTGCTGGCTCTTCTCTCTTACACCGCTCCCCTCTCCTTGTTTGATTCAGAAGGCAGCCTGCTAGGCTCTGTGATTATAGGGTTTGCCCCCTCTTTGCTCCAGCCCCCAACCTCCCCAACTTGTCCGCTTCAATCCAGGGTTCTGGGATAGGATTCTGCCCTGGAGTCGGAGGTCTGAGCTCTGTCAGCAGCTTTCAGGCTTGGAGTCCCTTGGAATCTCTGAAGCCCTGAAATGGAACTTCTTACGGGGCATGGGTTGCACCTCTGGACCACCCCGACTCTGGTGGAGGAAAGGGTCTTTGGCTGTTCCCTTTTATGCCGTGCAGGGCCTTGAAATATGACCTCATGAACTCCTCTTGACCCTCTCGTGGCTGAGGTCCCCCCATTAAATCAAGGTGACCCTTTTCACAGTCGCTCCTTCTAGGAGGCGGCTGCTGCTGCAGCACACACTCCCAGACCCAAGACCTCTGTCTCCTGGAGCAGTCTCTTGTTACGACCTCGCGTTGCTGAAGTGTCCACCTTTTTTTAGGAGCTTTCTCTAGACTGTCCTGAACATGGGAGGTTTTGTCTTTCGGGGTACACCAGGGGCTAATCTGAGGGGCTCCTTGGTGGCTGTGACATCGTGAGAGCTTTCACTGGCAGCCCCTGCGCCCGGTTGGAGGATACAATTTGCAGCCCCTCTACGTGTACGCACGTCCCTGACTCGGTTTCCCTTTGCTGCCCAGGTGCCCAAGCCAACAGGGCACAAGGCGTGGCCGCTCTGCCCAGGCAGCTCTTTCCCCAGGCAGGGTCTAAACAAGCCCAAGGTGTAGCTGGGCCCTGGAAGCCACTGTGGCCTGGCACAGTTTATAAACACAGGTCTGACAGGTGGGCGTGCTCGCAGCCAGGGCAGGAAGTGACCTGTGGGGCTCTGGGGCTTTCTCCTGCGTGTCTGTTTCCCCCCAGAACCCCCAACCTCCAAGGGCAGGGCCCTGCAGGGCAGCAGCTGTGGAGAAATCTGAGTGGCCAGTGTGTGGCAGTAGGAGCGATGTGCTGTGGGCTGCGTGTGCCCTGGATGTCCAGCCTGGATGGATGAGGTCACGAGGGCCCCGGAGCCCACCTGCCTTGGTGGGGTCAGCTCCTGTCTCACAACACCACCTCCCCTGGGGGGCTTGGGCCCTTTCCAGGAGAGGCGTCTTGTCATCAAGCCTGTCTATTCCTGCTCCAGGTAGGAAGTCTAGGTGGCATCTTTTCTTTCCAAGCATCCCCAGGCTGCCTGGGTTCCTGGGTGCCACTGTGCCGGTGGCTTGCAAAAGCCCCCCAGCCCCCTGCAGCTGGGTAAGTAGAAGAAAATACCCTCAGCCCCATGGCCATGCAGCCAAATGCTGGCTCTTCCCTTTGTATCCGGGAGGCCCTAAGTCAGCTGCTGCCCACTCCCAGCCTCAGTTTCCTCGGCTGCGTGAGGGGGCCGGGTCATGTGAAGTTTGTGATATAAAGGTCAGCCAAGCCAGGCCTGGTGGTGCACACCTGTGATCTCAGCACTCGGGAGGCCGGGGCAGGAGGATCGCTGTGAGTCCGAGACCAGCCTGGGCTACACAGTGAGTTCCAGGTCAGTCTCAACTACACAGTGAGACCCTGTCTCAAAAACACAAAAACAAAATAAAGGCCGGCCGGTGTCTGGCACGTAGGAGACACTGCATCCCCAGGCTCTCTGCAGGCTCTGTGGACAGGACTGGGTAGTTGGAGTGTTTGTCTTGAGTGCTTTGGCCCTGGGCAGCCCCGACAATTGGCCAGGGCCACCAAGGAACCCTAGTTCCAGCTCTCAGGGTTGTTTCTGCCTGGGGCCTCACTTGTAAGCAGCCAGGGTTGGAAACCCAGAGCCCCTTGGCACACAGAACGCTGCATTGTCACAGTGGGGTCCCCAGCTGCTCCTGCCTGGATGGTCTAACTGGCTTTGGTGGTGTGTGGGTTTCTGGAGCTGCTCTGGCACCGCACCACTGTCCACATCTGCTAAACCCTGTCCCATTTCCCCGAAGGCCTCTTCCCCACCAGGTTTCGTTTGTCTCAGGCCAGCTTCCGGTCAGCAGAGTGGACTCAGGACCAGGCTAGCCCACCGCTGGAGGACACTGGCTCTCTTGAAATCGTCCCCCAATCCCAGGCAGTCCCAGGTCGCACATTGTGCTCTGGTTTGCTTTGATTAGTGGAGGGATCAGGTCAGGTAGTCAGTGCCAGCCAGATCCTGGCGCTCCGCAGTCCCCAGCCTGTGTGGCTGCTGAAGGCCTCAGATAAGCAGTTCTCAACCAGGGACACCCAGGGACCCTAGGTGCTTTTGGCATAGACGAGGTGGAGGTGGGGGACGCCACTCAGTGCCCTACAGCACCTGGGACACCTGTGGTAGGGAATGACCCAGTATGGGACCTACGGGCCGAGACCCTGCCTAAGATGCTTAGCAGGCCCAAAGCCCAGCTTGATGTTGCTGCCTGGTGGAGGCAGGAGTTAGAGAAGAAACAGAACCCTCCCCAGTTTAGAGTCAGGCCAGGAGTGCTGAGCTCTCCCCTCTTGGAGATCACCCCCTGGCAGAGGGGTCTTAGGGATCCGAGTTGGTGTGGGATCACACATGCTCCTCCCTTCTCGCCAGCTGGTTAGGGTTAAGTAAATTGTGACCGATCGCCTCCGTGAAAGGGAAGCGTGTTTGTGGCTCCAGATGGTTGAGAACTCGCTCCATCAGGTGCTCTACATGGGTTACCTCACCTGCGCTGCCTCCATGCCAAGCAGGTAGAGACTGTGACCCGCTCCAGAGAAGAGACCTAGGGTCAGGGAGGCTGCCACTGTATGCCCCCTACGTACTGCCAGAGGCTGCTTACAAGTAGAGTGAGGCTTCTAGTGTCTTTGTTTTGGTTTTGGCTTTTTGAGACAGGGTCTCATTGTGTAGTCCCTGGCTGGCCTTAAACTCACTGTGCAGCCCAGGATGGCCTTCAACACTTGGTGATCCTCCTGCCTCAGCCTCCGACTGTCGGGATGCCAAGTGTGGACACCAAGCCTAGGTCATGTTCCTGTCCTGGGGAATCTTCAGGCTTGAAGATGGGAAGAGAGAACCTGAAATAGAAGAGGAGGCCGAGGGCACTTGTGCTGCGTTGTAGATGCCCAGAAGAGTCGGGGGACCCCGGGCATGGGCAGGCCTCGAGCAGGACACCCCGCCTCTCTGCCCGATCACCCGCCCGCCCTCTGAGTGCTGTGTATGTGCTTGCTCTTTCTCAGAACATGGTGATGAGCTTCCGGGTCTCCGACCTGCAGATGCTGCTGGGGTTCGTGGGCCGCAGCAAGAGCGGGCTGAAGCATGAGCTGGTCACCAGGGCGCTGCAGCTGGTGCAGTTCGACTGCAGCCCCGAGCTCTTTAAGAAGATCAAGGAGCTCTACGAGACTCGTTACGCGAAGAAGAGCGCTGAGCCCGGACCGCAGCCGCACCGGCCCCTGGACCCCCTCACCGTACACTCGGCTTACGAGCGGGCCGGTGCTGTGCCCAGGACTCCCCTGTCGGGCCCCAATATTGACTACCCCGTGCTCTACGGGAAGTACCTGAACGGACTGGGACGTTTACCCGCCAAGACGCTCAAGCCCGAGGTCCGCCTGGTGAAGCTGCCCTTCTTCAACATGCTGGATGAGCTGCTGAAGCCCACGGAGTTGGGTGAGTGTCGCCGACACACCGCCGCCTGCGCCGCATCCCTGCCGTGCGACTGGGAACGGTGGCCCAGGGACCGGCTGTGGTGTGGGTGATGCCCACTTTGTGACCTGGCAGCTTCCAGTGACAGCTTGTCAGTCAGTTGGCTTTTAGGTCCTGGGGTCTGGAAGTCATCAGGGCTCTTTGTTTTTTTGAACTGGAGATCAAACTCGGGACCTTCTGCTTGTGAGCAGGTGGCTGGCGGCACCACTGAGCTACATCCCCTACCCAGGGCTCTGTTTCCTTCTTTTTTGTTGTTTCGAGACAGGGTCTTGCTACATAGTTCAGGTTGGCTTTGTACTCACTCTGTAGCTCAGACTGGCCTCGAACTCATGGGTGATCCTTCTGCCTCAGCCTCCCAAGTGCTACTATTACAGGTGTGCCCCCCACTCCTCCTAGTTTAGGGGTTTTTTTTGAGATGGATGGGGTCTGTCTTGCCTAAGCTGGGCTCAGACAATTCTCCTGCCTCAGCCTCCTACCTGGCTGGGACCACAGAAGCTGCCCCCATACCTGGCTGCAACAGCCGTTTGTATCATTGTAACCTTGGAGGAGCTACACATCGTCCTGGGCTATGTCCCATGACCCATGCAGAGGCCACCAGAGCAGCATCGGAGGGCAGCCTGCGTGCTGTCTTGAAGGCTGGCTGCCCTGTGCTTAGTCTCTGTGGGACAGGGGTGAGAGATGGGGTCCGGCTATGTTGGTGGGGTGAGGCAGGTCTGGGGCTCTGTTTTTCTGTTGTGAGTGTTAACGATGCTGGGTGCCAGCACCTCGTGGCGCCAGGCTCCTGGGTAGAAAGGGCGTCTCGCCGCCTGCAGGGCCTGTGGAGAGGCCTAGTCCAGGTCTAGGTTCCCAGATGTTCTCAGAGACCTTCGGCCCTGGGTCTCTCCCACTCCCTGTAGCTCCCTCCCCAGCGTACTCCTGACAGGTACAGCCCCGGTCTTGACGGCGTGCTCTCTAGCATGCCAGGGAAGGAGCCAGAACTCCCCACCTGCCCGTGGCACCTGCTCTGCAGCCCTAGCTCTTTCTGAGTTGGCCCCTGCGTGCCGTGGCCCCTCCCCTGCTCGCCCCCCTCAGGCTTGGTAGCTCAAACACCTGCACCCCCTCTGCTGACCCGGCATCCCGCCTGGCCACCCACAAGTCCCCCGGGCCCCTTTCTGGCGCACACACTTCAGCTCAGGCCAGCTGGCTACCGTGCATGCCCCTGTCCCTGCCCTGGAGCAGGCAGGCCGTGCAGGCTACATCCCTTCCTGCCCATCATCGTTGGACTGGGGGCAGCGGGGTGGGGCAGCCGTGGTTGAAGGTGGGGCTGTAGGAGGTGGAGGGAGAAAAACAGCACCAGCAGCTCCGCAGACCACAGAGGTCCCACCCTCTGATCTGAGCCATTTGGGAGACATCTGGTCCAACAGCACCTGTGGGGACCGAGGCTGGTCCCCAGTTCTTTTGGGCTGGCTTCCCGGGTCTCTCCTCCAGCCCCCGTGGATGCTGGAAGCCAAACTCCTTGAGTTCTCTAGGTGCCTTGGGGAAGAGCTGGATGGCTTTGAGGTAGAAATGATTTGAATGGAGATTGGGGTTCTGTCGGGGGGGTGGGTTTGAACCCTGGTGGTGGCCTGGCCTCCCGCCCGTGTGGAGGGCTTCCTTCCTGCGGGGTGAGCGAGCCGCCTGTCCGCCCCGCCCCGCATGCATCACTGTGCGAGCCCCCAGGGACCCTAGTCACCTGATCTCCAGGCGAGCCTGCTCCCCTGTCTGCACCAGGAGCACTGCTGCAGCAGAACAAAGAGGCCGACCTGCCCTGCCTCCCCCCACCCACTGACTGGGCGCACCCCTGTCCGCCACCCCGGCTTCTGCCCAGGTCCTTGGGGCGTGGCTGCCCAAGCACAGGTCTGGTTCTCTAAGTTCTGTCACCGCGGTGCCGCCTTGCTGTCCCTGTGGTGGAATTGGTGGCACTGGTGCTACCCAGCTTCGCCAGCTCCCTTCCTCCTCACCCTGGCCTCGACCTACCCACCAAAACAAGGCCTTCACACTCGGGCCTGGTTCCCCAGAAGAGCCGAGGCCAACTCTAGGGCAGAGACCCGGCCAGGAGGACAGGAGCCATAAATCACCTGTGGGATGCCGGGCTGGGGGAGGGATCCAAGGGCCTCAGGAGACCGACAGCCCCTCTACTGGGGTTCAGCGAGGCCGGGAGACTCGTCCAGGGTCACACAGCAGCCTGAACGCCTGTCCTCCCTGCTTGACCCCCTTTTCCAGCAGACTGAAGCCTGCAGCGGTTGCTGGGGGTGGTCCGGGTTGGGGATCCAGCTCCCTCTGCGTGAGGAGCCTGGCCTGGCTGGCCTGGGGCAGAAGGCCACGGTGACCTCAGCAGGAGGGGTCACTGCAGCACTGGCCTGTGCGTCTGGCAGCCTGAGGGCCCCAGGCTAAGAGGTGCAAGAGCAATTGTGGCTAGGAGCAGGACAGAAGCACTGTTCCCCAGGCTCCCGGCTTCCTGTGGTGCCGCTCCATGTCCCCCACTACGCGGAGTGAGTGGCTCCGTCACCACGACATCCCCAAAGGCCTCCCGGCGGTGCACAGCACAGCTGCCAGCCAAGAGGTCTGGGAGTCTTTGTCCCTCGTCAGCCGGGAGCCAGGCGGAGGGGCTCAGGAGCAGACTGTTGTGTCTGCAAGGAGGTGAACTAGTAGGGCTTCTTGGAAGTGGTTGCAGCTCATGAGACTGGAGGAGGCACAGCCACAGGCCAGGCAGATAGGAGAGGACTGGCAGTACAAGAGGGCTCGTCCCCAGGCTGAGTGGAGGCCATTGTGACCATTATGGGTGTCCCAGGAGGAAGGCAGCATCGTGGAGACCCAAGGATAGTGGCATAGGGACTAGGAGGGACCAGGCCTCCCAGGGCTGCCTCGGTTCCTGTGAACCCTTCCTGTTTTTATTTTCTGCCCCGGGCCCCCTGGGGGCTGAACCCAGGGCCTTCCCACTGAGCTACATCCTTCTCTGGTTTTGCCCTTTTTCTTTTTCTTTTAAATTTTGGGGCAGTTTCACTAACTTGCTTAGTTGCCTAGGCTTTCACCTTGGAGTCATCCTGCCTCAGCCTCCCATAGTACTGGAGTACGCACCTGTACATCCAGCCTGGTGTGTCTTTGAGGTTGGAATTTGCCCTTCCCGTCAGTGAAGAGCCTGTAGGGGTACAGCGGGGTCCACTCCATGGCCAGGTATGGCTGGGTCCACGTCCCCTCTGGTGTCAGGGTCCATCCTGTGGCTGGGGTGGGCAGCTGCCTGGCATCCTGTGTCACTGTCCCTGGCTCCTAAGTTGCACTCTTTCCCTGGTACCCACAGGGCTCTGTCCTAACCACTTCTCAGGCAGGCCCTGCCCAGTGGGCCCCGCCTCGGGACCCCATTTTCCCCTGTAGCATCCTCCCAGTGCTAACTGTGTCTGTTCTCTTTTCCGCACTGTTGGATGATTGCGCATTCCCCAGTACGGGGGCCCAGTGGCTCATGTGGTATCAGGCAGGCTGTGGGGCCAGGGCAGGGCGCAGCGTGGGCCCAGAGGCTAGAGCTGAGAAGCAGCCAGGGACAGGAGGCGGGCGGGCCAGGGTCCCCTCCCCACACATGATCCTGTTCCCCAGCGGCCCCCACCCAAAAGCAGCAAGTTCCAGAGTGACAGGGCAGCTCGCACCCTGCTGAGGGGAGGGCTGGGCTAGTCCTTCAGTTCCCACCTGGGGCGGGGTGGCCATGGCCCTGGCTCTGCCCACCTTATCCTCCATTCTTTGGACTGCAACCCCACGCCGTGCCGGTTCAGGCTGGGGGTCAGCGGGCCTGTGTGCCTGAATGGAGGGGAGCATGGGCCCTGAGGAGGAGGACCTCAGTGCTCCGTGTCCTCTGACCACTAGAACAACAAGACTGGCCTGGGCCTGAGGGTTAGGGAGCTGCCACAGACAGCTCGCAGGCCCATGAGTTGGTGAACAGCCCTCTCCTATCAACTCTTTAAAATTTCCCTGAGCTGGCCATGGTAGTGCACACCTGTCATCCCAGCACTTGAGAGGCTAAGGCAGGAGAATCACTGCAAGTTTGAGACCAGTCTGGGATACATAGTTCAAGGCCAGCCAGAACTACACAGGGAGACCCTGTCTCAAAACGAAATTTCCTTGTGAGCTGGGCCTGGTGGCGTATACTAGAAATCCTAGCACTTGGGAAGCTGAGGCAGGAGGATTGCAAGTTTGAGTCCAGCCTGGGCAACTTAGTGACTTAGCATGATCCTGTTTCCAAATAAAAAATAAAGGGTAGGGGCTGGGGATTTAGCTCAGCGGTTCCGCCGCCTGCCTTGCAAGCACAAGGATGTGAGTTCAATCCCTGGTACCTAAATAAATAAATTAAATAAAAAACGGTTGAAGATACAGCTCAGTGTAAAGATCCTGTGTTCCAGCCCAGTACTGCAAAAATAGACAAGCTCCTTGTATCTAGTTCTTCCTTAAACCTTTGTAAAATTACACATCCATCGCAGAAACTGCAAGTCACCGGCACAGCAGCCAGCAGCCCAGCAGAGGCCACAGGGTGGGGAGCTGTCATGGCCCCTGTGGCGGGCATCTGCTGGGCATTAAATTTTCATTGGCAGCAGTGTCTCCAAAGACTACCTGAGTCTGGGGTGGAGGCGATCTCTGCCTTCTCTTCCTGGCTGCTTGGGCTGAGGGTCCGGCTCAGGGCGGCCCAGGTCCTCATTGCAGTCCTGGGGACTCCAAGGCCCGCATTGTGTGCTCTTGCGGCCTTGGCATGTGTCCTCTGCAGCCAGCTGGGCACCTCTCCCTGGTCCCAGCTGGTCCCCCTGCAAGGTCTCCTGGCCCCACGGAAACCCCAGGTGATGGCAGGAGCGCCTTTTGGTCCCTAGGTGTCCCCTCCTTGACCTTCCCTGCATCCCTGATCTTCAGCTCCTTGGAGTGCATTGGAAGGCCTGGGAAAGTGCATTGCTCTTGAGGGAGCTCAGAGTTTC